CAACCAAACTCCTTTAGCAGCGTGGGACTAGGGATGGGAACCAACAACAAAGAATCCCTCTTGGGTGTTCCTTACCTTTGGGGTGTCATCATTGTCACGGGCGGTTGATAAAAAGGAGTCTACCACCAAGTACAGCAAACAGAGGAATAATAACCCCAAACCAGTGAAAAATATAAACTGGGGGTCTAAATTCAAAGCAGCTGAGCATAAGCTCCCCCATAGCTCGGAATTGCTATTCAGTAAGCAGAGAACGTTCTCCATTGCCGAAGAGCAGGGCTGCCAAAGCAACTGAGACCTGAGGGTGCCCAGGCTGCCACATATACAGTCCCAGGCCTGCATCACAGAGCACAGGGCAGTCACAGAGGGCTTCTGAGGGTGGGGAGGGGACAAGAGGAGGAGGGTGTGGCACAGCCCCTCCCCCCACCAGCCCAGGAGATCCCGCTGCCCCTCCTGGGCCCTCTGGGTTCCTGTGCCCTCCCCTGACATCCGGTTTTCCAACTCCACCCTTTCTTCATACCATACATTTGCCTCTGTGAAATTTTCTGTTGGTTTTATCCGCCATCCAGATATTACCTGAGTCCCCTGTCACTGTGCAGAGCCCTTGACTCGGACCTAGAAAGTCTGAAATACTCCCTGGAATTTCTGCTGCTTCTCAGACATTTATATAATACTCTCAGGATCACACTATTCCTCAAATCCATGTTATCGACAGAATGGTTTTGCCTTACACTAACCCAGATATGAAACCTAAAGTTCTTTTACACTTACTTCATTTTATGAACGTCGAATAGAAAATTTTTTGTTTTAAAGTCAGCCTTCACTGTTTCCAATCAGAGGGGCTGATTCGAATAATTAAAACTAATAATTCATTATTCAACATACATGAAACTAAAATAAGTATAAAATAATGTATATAATTAAAACTTTAAGCAATCTTGGGGGTAAATTTATAGCATTTATTATTCTGAAGTTACTGAAGCTTAAACTATACAAAGACTTTTGGGACATGCTCTAATGAACACATGCCCATCCTCTGACAACTCAATCCAGTATTTTCAAATCCAGGAACCAATCACTTCCTCCTTTTCTTTCAATCTCTCATTCATTATATTGTCCACACTTTTTCTAACCCTATCTAAAATACATAATCCTAGCTCTCTTGGGAGGCCGAGG